GTCATAAAATATTGATTTAGTTAGAATCTCAGACGCCTTGGGGTATGAGTGACCCTCATCTTTGACCAATTGTTGTAATGTTCTGATCGCAATGAAGGGGGAACAGTTGAGACCGTAGGTGACGGTATTTAGCTTTAAGACTTGAAGGGATTCATCAGGGTTGGATCGCCAAAAGATTAACTGATATTTCTTGTCATCTTCAGCCACCAGAATCTGGCGATACATCTGTCGTATATCACAAGTGAACACAAACTTGTGACACCTAAAGTACAGCAAGACATCACTAATATCATTCTGCAACTTAGGGCCAGGCATGAGGATATCGTTTAGGGAGACGCCATTGTTTGTTTTGGAACTACCATCAAATACGACTCGTATTTTGGAATTAGGGGGATTCTCCTTAAATACTCCATGATGGGGTAAATAGTAACATTCACCAGAAAGGGGTTGCTCACATGCACTCATGTGACCTGATTTGATGTAGTCATCCATAAATTCGGAGTATAAATCTTTGAATTCGGGCTGAGCAGCAAATTTTCTTTCCATCGCTTTAAGTCTAAGTTGAGCTGTACTACAAGATTCACCTAATAGTGGATGATTTGGTCTTTTCGGTAACTTAACAACATATCGACCAGAGTTATCACGTGTATGGGTTCTTTCAAAATGCTGTAAGCAGAGAACATCTTCTTCTGACTGAGTCTTGACACATGTCGGGGGTTCTTCGATTGACCAAAACCTTTGAAGTGAACTGTGAAGGTCTCCATCATGTGTAGTGAGAAAAGAAACAGTTTTTGGGATTGATAACTCAGATGTAGCAACAGGAGCTATGCCCATTACAACAAATCCGAATATAGTTCCTAAAACTTGGGGCAGGTTATGGCCTAAGAAGTGCTGCTCACCAGTCAGTGAGAGAGCGAATAAATCAGCTCCGATCAATAGATCAATTTCTCCAGGTTTGTCAAAACAGGGGTCTGCAAGAACAAAATCATTTAAAGATCCCTTCACTTGAGGTGAGACTGGGATCTGAGGCAGTGGTGAAGTGATACGATTCAAAACCAAGCATGGATGATGGTAGGCTAAGCGTTGACCATTAACTGCAGATATATCAATGTGCACTATTCCTCTAGAATGAATTAGTGAGCCAGAAATTCCTTGGATTTCATCATGTGCTCGAGTACGGGAGGCACTGATGAGCTGAACAGCTCTTTCAGATATCAATGTAAGTTGAGATGCAGAGTCGAGCACAGCACGGAGTACAGTTTGCTGACCATCTTTGGAAAACACCTGAACTAAACATGTTCCAAGTAAAATTGTTGTTTTAGTTGGGTTTAACTGGCTAGACAATCCTACAAGAGCACTTTTATTCACTGGTGCGGTGACATGGCTTTGGGGTGCGTTATTTGTAGGCGGCTTACCATATTTTTTTTCAAAAACCTTGGTTGGGTAACTTGGCTGCTGTTGTGTGGGAGTTGAGTCATGTAAGAGAGTGTGATGTCGCTTTGAACAAATTCGACACACTCTATGAGAAGGACAGTTATTAGTATCATGTAGATGGCCTAGGCAGTTGGCGCATAGATTATTTTTACAAGTGAATTCAACTCTATCACCTCTACTTTTAGCCTGAAAGGCTTGACACTTGTATATATTGTGATCGGATGCTTGACAAAACTTACAAGTGTTAGTCACTGTGACGAAAGCTGTTTTAGCTTGAGAGGAGTAAGGTTTACTATCTCGAAGAGGTTTAGGCCTATAACTATTAGATTGAGTCTTTTGCACTGAAGGGTATCTTGCGTTAGCTGAGGGACCAAGACCGATACTAGCTCCTTCTAATCGTTTAAATTCTCTTTCAAGGAATTGAATTAGATCATTTACTGCAGGTATGTCATTGTTTGTGATGCGAGAATCCTCAAAAGATTTTCTTAAATCAGTAGGTAACTTTTTCAAAAGCGTTAGGACAAGCAGAGTATTTTCAGCTGTTATGTCATGGTTGAGATTTTTCAAAACTTGAGTGTTCTCTTTATAAACTGTGAGAAAATGTTGGAGACTTTTTAGAGAACCACTACTTATGCATGGCAAATCAATGATTTTTGTAACAAGCTGAGTTACAACACGCCTTTTGTTATCATAGCGATCCTTAAGCAGCCTAAGTGCAACATCAAAGTTTTCTGCAGTTATGCTTAAGCTCTTTACTAAATCTAAGGGTTCACCACTTAAAGAACTAAGCAGATATTGGAACTTACTCACAGGGGCCAAAGTTTCATTCCTATTAATAGAAGCCTCAAAAATATTGTAGTAGCTAACCCATTCTTCGTAGTTACCGCTGAATTTGGGCAACTCAAATTTGGGCAGTCGCAGAGATGTTTGGGTGGGAGGTGTTACTTCTTTAGTTTTAGCAGGTAACACTATTTTCAAGTCGCTGATCAGAGAAATGTACAAGTCCGAAATTTCATCTTGCATAGAGCATGCTTCAGTTTCGTCATAATCAGAACCAGGATCATCATAAACCACTTTATCGAATAAAGCTTTAAAATCAGAGAATAAACCTCTAACTTCATCATCATAGTTGTGTAAGCGCTGAATGGAAACAACATTTAATGATTGAGTTTCTGAGAGAGTAATTTGGGCTGACACAAACTTGCTTATTTTCTGAAGCCTATTTTTGACAAGTTTTGCCTTTTTCTCTAGTGTAGAGAATCTCATTTTAACAGACCATTTATGTAATCAACAGAGTAAGCTATAGGCCTAAGTGTATCATAAGTTTAGGCCTATGTAAATATTCCCAACAACTAAATATCAAAATAACTCCAAGTCTTAGACCTAACAATAATGCAAATTAATAGCTCAGAATAAACCAATTCATTTACATTCACTCTATAAGAAATAATGAATGTAAAATTATATTTCACTTTACCATCAGACCCAGGATAGACATAGTAAATAAAGGTAAAGTCTATTTAACACAAGTCATTTAATTTGAATCAGTATTTTCGCAGAATAAATTGAGTAGGGAAGTATTTATTATGAGCAATATCCTTAATGTAGACAAGAATCGATTCAACCACTAATATTTCGTTTAATATTCACACAAAACAATATTTTCCAAGATGTAAATAAACTTGAAGGTTACGTTTATATTTTGATTCAATTCACACAGCTGTATGTAGCTGGAGTGTGTTTTATATTCAGTCAGCTGATTTCCTGTGCTTGAAACAGAGTTTTACATATGATCAATTTGAAGAAGCAATATCATTGGGCGATTTATTCTGTTTTACGAATCTCGACGCTCATTGGTTCTTGCGACGTGCAGACTGTAGGCAGAGCGCTCTAGTGGAGTAGTTCGCTACCAAGGTGCATCGCAAGGACAGAAAATATAAAATGGCTGACTTTCTGATAAGTGAAAATATGTTAGAAAATTAAGGACGAAACAAAGTGCAGACAAAAATTATTGTTAATGACAATAATTGATATGGTGAATTGATTGAGAAACTTAGAGAAAATATTAAATATCCTAACTAATTCCTGATTTCAAATAACTAGTTGAAAGGAAATATGACGTGATTCATGTAGCAGTGGGAGGACATGAGCATGAAACTAACATGAAATATTCACGTCTGAGATGGCACAGGGGAATGAAATAAAATATTATTTATTCACCAAAAATAGTAATGGGGAATACAAATGCTGCTCTAATTATTTAGAGAAGTGACACTTTTAAGAGTTTAGTTGTACAATTTTAACAGTTACAGTAGCTAGGCTAATAAAAGCACAATATATTATTAATGATAAGATTTTCGTCCGACTCGACAGGACCAGCGGATGGGGGGTAAACTTGCCTAAAAATGTTCAAATGGACTGTATGTTGAAAGAGCAATATTAAAAACTTGTCACTAATTATTTAACAGATAATAATGAGATTGATGAGGTACCTTCCTTTTAACTGAAGTGTTGAGAAGACGAAGCCGGTAGACGTACACGAGTTTCTTCTGCTGGCCAGCTATTGCGTATTGCTCGTACACAGACCCGGACCGGCAGTAGTAGTGTTTCACTTCACAAATGTTCAATAGTTCACTTTTAATATGTGTCACTAATAATAATTAAATATACTTTGGGGTTAAGAGATGAGAGCAGCAATTGGGAGTTAATTGTGCCGGGGACATGTTAGTAGTTGCATGAATGCAAGAGAACTGGGGCGAGATTGGGGTTTCCAGACATCACGTGACAGGACAAAGGTTATTGTATGATATGAAACGTCTGGAAATATCTAGGTAGCGCTTGAATACGGAACACAACCGTTCTTTGAACATCTCCAGCCATTCCCGGCCAAAATAACACCTCTCTTGCTCTTCTTAAACAAGACCCAACTCCTTCGTGAGAAGAATGTAGAATTTAAAGCATGGCAGGTCTCAAAGAACGTGGAACTACTGTACAGCCCTCCTTTTATTACGATTCCATCTACAGCTGATAGTTCATCTCTAACACTCCAGTATTCCTGTACATCTTGAGGAACATAAGTACGCTTCTCAGGCCACCCTTTCTTAATTGTGTCCACAAGATTATTCATAACAGGGCATTTGCTTTAAACTATGCCGAGCCATGTCTCGGTCCCCCAGTACTTATTATTAGTAGCCTAATTGGTTTACAATAATATGATCATTATGAACCACATTGTTGCCATCATCACATTTTAGACTTGTATTTGTTCTGTTTAGTAATTTATAGACAGTTAATTTATCTATTAAAATAGTTTTTAATTGTATTTCAATTTTATCATGATTTCATGCTGTAATGTGGTGTATAAAATAAATAAAGCATCTTTCGCCCACAAAATCTAATATAATTCTAATATAAAAATGTATGCATGTTATTTTCCAAAGTAAAGAAAAAATTCAGCCCACAAATTTATTTATTACAGTATTGTAACAACAAACATGAAAGCAAATTTTTAAAATTATTTGACAAACGTGTTCAATCTACTTTACGTTTCACATTTTATTTTCCAGGCTCTGCCGACACCTTGGAAGGATATTGTTACTTCTGTGCCGATGTGGGCGTTACTCATTGCTCACCTGGGCCAGAACTGGGGCTTCTGGATGTTACTCACCATGATGCCGAGCTACATGAGTCATGTGCTCGGGTTTGACATTAAAAGTGTGAGTAACTTTTGATGAAATTGCTTTCTTTCTCCATAGTAAACCTGAACCTTACCTACAGTAGCAACACAAACCAAGTGAGGTTTTTGTAGCTTGTAAAAAATAGGTAACAAAACTTAATTATTGGTATTGCCAATAGAAAGTTGTATGAGAAAATAGTACATAGCAATCTATTGCTATAAAAATATTCAGAACTGAGTGTATTTTTGTATGTGTATGACCAGAATACTGATTAACACGTTCGCTGCTGAGCGCTAGATGCCGGGACGGCGCCAGGTGCTGAACTAACGCTTGGCCGATGCGTGACATTGCCACCGATACACTGAATTACAGTAAAAACATCAGTAGTTATACTGGATGGCAATGTTCTGCAATAAAACTGGCTTTGGATATAGTACTAAGTGATTCTGATAGATAGCAGTACTACCCAGGTTACATTCGGTAAAGTAGTGTCGCTATCTAGCAGGAAAGAGGTGAAACAAAGCCCTGATCCAAACAAACCTGGTGGTGATTTGGGAAACTATATTTTTTATTGTCAGAAAAGTACGTCCCCACGAGCTGCAAAGAAATATAGGACGCTTGTGTCGTGCTTATCCATAGCAACGTTAAACAACAATGAACGGTGACGTTCTGGAACGTTCTTAGCTCCTGGCGCCGTGGCCCGGCTGACGTTCCGGAACGTCCGTAGCAGCGAACGTGTTAAATACTAATTTAATACAGAAAAAGGTTAGATAGCTAGACTAGCAATTTACAGTAGTTAGAGAAAAAAAATGAGAGTCAGGAAAGCGTTTTTAAATAGTTGAGAGTTTGAGAAACAAAATATTTACAGATAAAATTAACTTTAAAGATGAATCCAAACTATGCTTTATACTTAATATGAAAGTGGTAAGGACTCATGCTGAGCCTTAATTGGCCAGAAGTGAGCAGAAACATGATGATAAGATTTGCAATTCTATATTCCTAGAAGTTAGTCTTATATTTTCATTAAAAAATCATTGCCAAGTTTGTTAAATTAATCATTGCTTTGTTGTTTTGTAAACTTCATATAGGGACACCCAGGAAAAATAGATAGGAATGACTGTAAAGTTTTAAAGATATAGATATACAACAGACAAAACAAACTAAATCGGATAAAAGATAATAAAATTATCCTGTTATGTTGACAAATAGCATCCAGAATTTATTGTTTTTTCCTGTCTATGATATATGTTCCATTTTAGCTAATTTCCCTATAGGGAAGTAGCTACTACCGTAGGTCTCATGGTAAGACTTGAACCCGGGACCGATGTACTTTTTAATTTTGATGTCCCCAGAGGCCAAAAACACAATTCGTTCAAATTTTTTTATATGTATCTATATGTCTGTGAAGGCGATAACTTGAGTAATTTTTGTTTATTTTTGATGAAATCTGGTTTGAAAGTGTAAGGGGAGGTAAACTTGAATGAGTTCGTTAACCAGCATGATTGGATTATGGGAACAGCTTAAAGAGGTAATAACTGGTTATCTCATTTTTGACCATCAAAACACAAAATTTCCAGATTTCTCTCTAGATAATTTTAAAGAGCTTAAAAAGACAAACAATGTAGTATTACTAGCTGGCCCAACAGACGTCGTCCTGTCCTAATGTGGTTTTATGCCAAATGCTCGTTCATTTACAAGATGAGCTCGTTTGCATAAAAATTGTAAATTTAAAATTACAATGTTATTCACATGGAGAATATTGTAAAATGTTGTAGTTTGCTTGTTTATGGATATATTTTGATAAAACTTGGCAAATTTATTTATTTTATACTAAGTTATTAATATTTAAATAATAAACACAATTTAATAGCCTCCCTGTAGCAGTAAACCTAGGTACTCGTTAAACCTAATGTTATTTAAATGGATTTAATTGTACTTTTAATGGAAGTTTGCTTAGTCTGCGGGTTTTCTGCGGCGGAGGTATTTTAACCCTGGAACTGCCGGTTTGCTAAAATGCCAGCACATTTTGCTACAGTTTGCATAGTTAGTTTTAAAAGTTAAAGTAGGCCTACTAATAAAATAAGAAAATATATTTCAGGAAGTCAATCCGATGGAATGACTTATTGTGAGCTATAGCAACTGTCATGTCCCATCAACTACTTCAGAAAAGAAAAATAAGGTAGAAAATAGAGTTTTAGACTATAGCGCATTATGTGACTGGGCGACTGGCTCACTCAAAAAGGTTCTTTTTTAAAATAAAAATTTGGCAACAGCTAGCTCATATGGATGGGATGTCTAATTCTGCATCAGTATCCAATAGTCAAAGTCAATCTGTTGATCTAGAAGATTTTGCCAAAAACAATACTTTCTATATACAGTACTATCTTTGACTATTAATGATACTATGTAAAGGGACAGAAAATGAAAAAAATTCTGGAATGTTTTAGAAATATAACCCAAAAATATAGCTAAACCTAACAGATAGAAATCAATTTTGTCACATATGATTGGAATCAGCATTACTCTTGTGAGTACAGTACCTATTTTTAAAGTAAGAGAGTTTTAATTCTCCTGCGGGCAATTGTGCCAGATTTCACATAACACCTCCGCTGCAGTAAACCTGCAGACTAAGCAAATTTCCATTTGCCTAAATACATTTCCACTAAAATATATCCTTGAAAATTTCAGATTTATTCCTTAGTGTATCGATTACTTAGGTTTGCTGCAACAAGGAAGGTAATAGTGTTTTTTTAGTGAAATGTTACTCCTGGTTCGTAAACTCAAAAAAAAAAAAAAAAAAAAAACACACAGGTCTACAAGTTTGCACAAATTTCATTAAAATCTGATAGGCCTAATTTTTGCTTGAGTTATCATCCTAACAGACACCTATATATATATATGTGAAATTGAACGTATGGTGTTTTTGGGCTCTAGGGACCTCAAAAAGAAAAATTAAATCGGTCCCAGGTCGAGATCCAATCATGAGACGGTAATAGCTTATTCCTGTACGGGAAACTCACTAAAAACAGTTTCAGATATGTAAAATGATCTGCTTTTTTCAATGCTAGTCATTCCAGTCTCCAGATGATTTGGAAGGTAGCCAATTCCTGTACAGGATGGTTTAAATGCAATTTCGTTAACTAGCTGTAACTGGTATCAATCACTATACTAGGTAGCCTATTATAGTGTTTTGGTTAATTTCCAGAATGGACTGATCTCTTCCCTCCCCTACATGATGATGTGGGCTCTCACTCTTATCTTCTCCTGGGTCGCTGACTACATTAATGAGAAGAGGATCCTGTCTCTCAGTGTGTCTAGGAAAATGTGGAACACAATTGGTGAGATTCTGTTAGTTTGAGACGTTGTCATTTGATTATTTAAAAATTTTCCTCCACTGTTAAATTCGATGGTGCTCTATCAGAATATAACAAGTTATCACAATCTTCTAATATTGACGTATATAATGTAGAAGTAATCATTCACTATATAATTTGCAGACTTTTATAACACGTTCACTACCAATCGCCTTATACACGTTGCGGTCATTGCCACGGGCCGAGGTAGACATTTTAATATTACACATAGACCAGTGTGTCATTTAATTAACAGTAAACGCAGACCACCGGCCAGTGATGCCGTAATGTTAAAAATTGTTTTGCCAACTATCATATGACGTCACCTAAGGCCATTTTTCTGTATAGGCAGACAAGGTGCGCGCCTAGGGCGGCAAAATTTTAGAGGATAAATAATCAAAAAGGAGGTTTTACTCTAGAAAAATGAATGTTAAGCAATTAATTTTGAGAACTACAAAAATGCTAAAAACGGCTTTGCCCTGTTTTCCATTCTGCCCTGTTGGTCTGGCGGACACATCGTGGCTCAAGGACGTGGGCAGTTAAATACGTCCGTCACCAACTATCATATCCGCAGACCAAGTGATGCACATATGCGACAAAAAACCCTGTAGACCACTGCAGAGAATTCAGGGCCTTTAATAGACCGTTACAAGGATAAGATTTTTAATAACATTGGGACACCAACGCAAATATGCATCCGTCAGTCTTTTTTATGCGACAGCAGTCAATGGGTAGAAACGACCGCATATGTGCATCGCTGGTCCATATGAATGAAAAATTTAGTATTATTGCGGTAGCGAACGTGTTAAAGTAAATTGAGTATCTAATATTGTTTAATCATGTTTTAATTTTATGGTAAGTCGGTGGCTCAGTCGGTAGCGTTACGGACTTCGGGCCCAAGGCAGCGATGTCGTAGGTTCGGATCCTGGTCACTGCCGAAAACATTTTATCAGTACAGTTCACCTTTGTACTGTACCGGCTCACCCCTTGCTTTGCTAGATACGTTCCACGCACGGACAGTTAGTCTATGTGGATGGGCATATGCAAGGTTAAAAGAGACTGCCAACCTCTTAAAAAAAATTAAGTTGATTTTCACCATATGGTATGCTTTTGATCTAAGTTATCTATCTATATTATTAATACGCTACATGAAACTTTGTGAACAATAATTATTACTGTACTCTTTTTTACAATAACGCCTGTAATACTTCGAAATTGCTCGAATTCGAGCAACAGGTCTATATACTAATATATAAAAATGAGATGGTGTGTGTGTGTCTTCTCTTAAGATTCGGTGGATTTGAGATCCGGATTCGACACATCCCTAGTCGTAATATACAGTACTGTGACATTGCCTAACCATACAGGTTATTGACGTCGTAATATACAGTGCTGTAACATTGACTAACCATACAGGTTATTGACGTCGTAATATACAGTACTGTGACATTGCCCAACCATAGAAGTTATTAACGTCGTAATATACAGTACTGTGATATTGCCTAACCATACAGGTTATTGACGTCGTAATATACAGTACTGTGACATTCCCTAACCATACAGGTTATTGACGTCGTAATATACAGTACTGTGACATTGCCTAACCATACAGGTTATTAACGTCGTAATATATAGTACTGTGACATTGCCTAACCATACAGGTTATTGACGTCGTAATATACAGTACTGTGACATTGCCCAACCATAGAAGTTATTAACGTCGTAATATACAATGCTGTAACATTGACTAACCATACAGGTTATTGACGTCGTAACATACAGTACTGTGACATTGCCCAACCATAGAAGTTATTAACGTCGTAATATACAGTACTGTGACATTGCCTATCTATACAGGTTATTGCTATTTTATGTGTTATATTATTTTTATTTTGGCATTCTTAATAATTGACACTATTCATGTATATATTGTACATTATGAATAAAGGATGATTTTATTTGATTTTATTGACGTCGTAATATACAGTACTGTGACATTGCCCAACCATAGAGGTTATTGACGTCGTAATATACAATACCTACTGTGACATTGCCTAACCATACAGGTTATTGACGACAGTACTGTGACATTGCCCAACCATACAGGTTATTGACGTCGTAATATACAGTACTGTGACATTGCCCAGCCATACAGGTTATTGACGTCGTAATATACAGTACTGTGACATTGCACAACCATAGAGGTTATTGGCGTCGTAATATACAGTACTGTGACATTGCACAACCATAGAGGTTATTGACGTCGTAATATACAGTACTGTGACATTGCCCAACCATAGAGGTTATTGACGTCGTAATATACAATACTGTGACACTGCCCAGCCATACAGGTTATTGACGTCGTAATATACAGTACTGTGACATTGCACAACCGTAGAGGTTATTGGCGTCGTAATATACAGTACTGTGACATTGCACAACCGTAGAGGTTATTGGCGTCGTAATATACAGTACTCAATCAATCAATCAATCAATAAAATCTTTATTCAATATTAGTACTCTGTACATAGAATGGTGTCAATATTAATGAATACTAAGATACATTATAACTAAGATTATACATGATTACTAAGAATAATAAGGCTGTCAAAACAAAATATATAGTTATATGCATGAAAAGAAAAACAGAACTAAAAACTTTCTTTACACATCATTTTTACATGGGAATTCGGAGAAAGAATATAATGTTAAATCAATAAGATATTTTTTTAGTTGATTTTTGAATTTATTAATATTTTTCTCAGATTTAATGGCTTTTGGTAACATATTATAAAATTTTGACCCCATATACATTGGCTTTTTTTCATAAAATCCAAGTTTATGTTTGTCAATGCCAATTCTATTCCTGAATCTTGTATTATAATTATGAGTATCTCCAACAAAATGAAGTTGGTCCTGACGGTTTTTCACAGAAATTATAGTTTCATAAATGTACATTGCATATACAGTCATGATACCAATTTTAGAAAAAAAGAGTTTTACCGATTCATTATAATTTAATTTTAATATAATCTGAATTGATTGTTCCTGAATTTTTAGTATTTTGTTCAAATTTTGAATGGAAGTTGCCCTGACTTTCGAAAAGTATTGGATTAATTTGCTAGCTCCTGCAAGTAGACAATTCATTTACAGCTCACATCATCTCATTTTACTTTCTCCCCCTATCGTAAATATATAACAATTTGAACGAAAAGTGTTTTTGGCCACTGGAGACATGGAAAAGTCAATTGGTCACGGATCTAGGTCTTACCGTGCCACCTATGGCCAAATACTATACATGGAAGTAAGAGTAAGTAAGTAAATTAGCTTAAGATATAACAGAGATCATTGTATATTTGGTTTACTAATCTTCTAATCTTATTTTAATTTTAAATTTCAGCCCACTGGGGTGGTGCGATAGCCTTACTAGGACTTTCATTCATCTCTAGTGTGTTTGGCGCAGTGGCATTACTGACCGTGTCTGTAGCCCTCAATGCAGGAGTCTACATGGGCTTCCTCACCAACCATCTCGATCTTTCACCCAACTTTGCTGGACTTCTGATGGGGATCACTAACGGACTGGCTAATGTCACGTCTATCCTGGGACCAATGATTACAGGCTTTATTGTGTCTGATGAGGTACTATCTTGGATATATGTGGTTTAGTAATGATAGTGCTTTCCTGTTTTTCAGAGGGTTGCCAGTTCAAACCTGAGTGAAGTTAGTAGCTTTTTGATGGTTCAAACCTGTGCCAAGGTGGCCCTGGATCATTGGGGTTTCAATACATAACCATAACACTAACAGAAACATTTGGTATAAAAAAAACAAAATTACAAAGCTACACAAGGCTTCTTAATATACTTTTTTCAGTATATTAAATTGGTTTCACATTACCTTTATCAGTTCCAAATATTGATCATTGTTTAAGTGTTACGTGTTCTGGCGAGCTGCCATTGTCAAACACTTCATTCCAGGAATATACATTAAATCTGCTTAAATACCTTCCTTTTTTAACACCCGACATGCACGACATATAAATAAATACTTTAAACTTGATAGGCCTATCACTAGTATGCAACATTGCTGGTACAGGATTGGAAACAGACTGTCAGTGGAGGGCTCAAGTCAGCGTTATCTGGTTGGTTCGTTATCTGTTGTGGTCAGTTGATCAGATTTGTTTTCTTGTTGTAGAAGCGTGTTAAAAATTATATTAGACATAAACTGGAGTTTGTCATTGGGTATGTGGCTGTTTAAATCCGGATTTGTTATTGATTTATAAATTTAAAATTCCTCAATGACATTCATTTTATTTCCCTTATGACAGTAATGTAGGACTTGCAGATCAGTGTTAATGTCATTCATATCGTGATTACTATCAATAAGGTGTTGGGCAAAAGTTTATTTTTGTGTGTCTGTTCTTTGATCTGGGCGGTTTTTTTTATAACAAGTTCTAAATGCTCGACCCATTTGTCCAATTTACAATATTTGTCAGTTCATATTTGGAACTGATAAAGGTAATGTGAAACCAATTTAATATACTGTATATTACAGTTCCGGGGCTACAACAATGAATTTTAATACTTCTTTCAGCTTAAAATATGTAAAAAATTACAAAAGCATTTCAACTAAATAAAGTGTGCTTGTCTAGATTTTTTTTCAAAATAAAGAATGATAAGGGTTATTTTATGTACGAGTTAATAAAGTACATAATTTTTATAACATTAGATGGTAAGGTAAAAACATTTAATTTTGTGAAAAAGAGCTTCCAGGTAATATATGTTCATGTTGTTTATTATTGTTTTAACTACAGTTAATTTTATAACAATATACATTTTTTACAATATTTAGTTTTTAAACCAGCTGTTTATTTACACATCATATTACATTTTTTACCTAAAATATAGCTAAATCCTAAATACCCCCGCCGCAGCAAACCTGCAGACTATGCGAATTTCAACTTGTCTGATTACATTTTTACTAAAATATTTCCATAAATAAGACATATTTATTGCCAATTTAAATAACATTAGCTGCTTTGCTGCTACGGGGAACGTTAAAAATGGTTTTTTGATCATACGTCAATAGCATTAGATGAAATAAATAAATTTGCCAAATTTTATCAACATACAGGGTGATTCATAAAGGACTTTACAACTTTGAAAATTCATATAAATCTTATTAAACAAGGTACAGAGCTGGTTTTGGGGTTGTTTTAAAGGAAAACACTTCAAGTTTTTTTACATTAAACTAAAGATGTTCTATGTGACTTCCGTTGGATTTGGGGAAAATAATTATTTAGGTATGAAAAATAGTGAAAACCGTTAAAAATTTGAGAGAAATTTACAAATTTTTGAAAGTAGGGCGTTTTTTTGACGGTGAAGGAGTGCGATACACCCACTTCTAGATGTGCTAGGGAGTTGAAATTTCGCACACTTGTAGTTCTTGGTCCCAAACCACCCATAAAATTCCAAAAAGTCACATTTTCAAATTTTAACACACCCAAAAATTTAAAATGGCGGACCTCTGAAAACGACAAAACAAGTTTTTTTTTAAACGGCTACAGCTCAAAAACGGTAAGAGCTAGAAAAGATTTGAGGAAAAAACGTAGGTTCGGAATTAAATTTCCTACAAGACACTAAATAAGCGTTTTTTAAAAATCGCACTCCTTCACCGTCAACAAACGCCCTACTTTCAAAACTTTGTAAATTTCTCTCAAATTTTTAACGGTTTTCACTATTTTTCATACCTAAATAATTATTTTCCCCAAATCCAACGGAAGTCACAAAGAATATTTTTAGTTTAAGGTAAAAAAACTTGAAGTGTTTTCCTTTAAAACAACACCAAAACCAGCTATGTACCTTGTTTAATAAGATTTATATGAATTTTCAAAGTTGTAAAGTCCTTTTTGAATCACCCTGTATATCCATAAACAAGTAAACTACAACAGTTTACATTTTCTCCATAAGAATAACATGGTACTTTTAAATTACACTTTTTTTGAATTTTTTCTGTAACCGTTAGGTAAAACAACAGTGTTTCAATATACTAAATTATTTCTTTTTTAAGCTCTACAAAATTTTGTAGAAAGAAATTGCAATTATTTATTTTATTTTAAGGGCCAAAAATGGGAAAACCCCCAAGTTTGTGTGTGTGTTGCTCAATCACGCATAAACTACTGGACGGATTGGGCTGAAATTTGGCATGATGATAGCTCACATTCCCGATTAACATTTAGGCATATTTATTCTTATCTCACAAATCCTTTCGGGCTCTGCCCCAGTGTCTCTGTAGTTCCCCATGTTAACCTTATGAGTATTCATATTATTTAAAGGGAATTAAAGAATTTAGTCAGCTGTTTCAACTTTACAAGTTGGTTCTATAATCTATACTATTATAAAGAAGAGGTGGTGTGTGTGTGTGTGTCTGTGTGTTTGTATGAGATAATCTCAAAAACTACTGAACCGACTGGGCTCAAATTGCACAAAAATGAAGCTACAGCTCCGAGGATACATATAGAACTATTCCCGCTTCGATACTGTCCTAGGGCTCTGCCCTGTGTGCTTTCAAAAATTTGAGGTGAGAGATTTAAAAGTAAATATTGATTGATGGTATCCATAGTAACAAAGAACAAACCTACAAAGTTTAAAAATGTAAACAAGCAGAACTAACTGTCAAATGAATTTTGATTTCACAATTCCACACAGCTGGTTCAAATATATTAAATACTGCCCGAATATTAGAACAAATAGGGTAAGGATTATAAATTTAAAATAATGATGTCACTAGCCCGAATGTAAACATTATTTAACATTACTTAAATGGAGCTGTCAAACCATATGTTAATGTAATTTCATTAGTATATGATTCTTTCAGTTACTTCATTTGTTTATGTTTATGATCTACTAGCGGAATACCCGCGCTTCACTACGGAAACTTTAAGATTGGTTGACATTTTAAATAATAATGTTTAAGTTCCAACAGCCTTCAGTCAATGATTCAGCTACAAAATGGTTTCCTCAAATCGATGTCATATTAAAGCAGCTATAATAATGTCTCAACCGGTCTCCGTCACTGTCGTATAGAATAAGTTAGAGAGTCCCAGTTTCTCACATTTTCAACAATTGCTTCGCACACAGTTATTAGTGTGTGTATGTGTTTAAGGTGATGATAAATGAGAATGAAGTAAAAAACACGCTTCATCTCCTCTGATCACTAAAAGTATTCACTTAAAATATTTACTGTCTACTTTCGTTTCCCAGACATTTTTTTGCGAAATAAACCATACAAATACAATAGGTTTTTATAAACATTTTAGAAAAAAGAAAAATGAATTACGCACTTAAAAATAAGACTCCTTATCCACACACTATCAAAAACTATTTACTAAACAAACTTCCTCTTTTATAAATATAAATATAAGCTAATAATGCTAAACATTTTGACAATTGATAGTGCTGCACCCTGTTGGTACATTTTTTAACCTTTTAATGCTATTGATCATCACAGAATCAAATTGTTTAGTTGAAACAGCTGTTAAGATTCTTTAATCCCATTTAAATATGAGTACTCATAAGGTTTACATGGGAAACTCCAGAGCCACTGGGGCGGAGCCCTTTTGACGGATCTGCACCAAACTAGCAGAATACCCGTCCTTCGTACGGGGTTTTTGGCATATACATATAAGTATAAAATACTTATTGCAGTGATGGTAGAGGAGACGGTTTAAGAAAATTTGGTCTTATAATTTATACGGTATCCTATAGTGTAGCGCACATCTACCATAGCCCTAATGCTCTACCACTGCACCTAAACCATTGAAAAAGTATAAAGTTTTCATTGTGTACCACCATTTTTTGTTGCTAGTTGGTACAAATTAGGTGTTGTCATAAATGCAAAAAACATAATAGTGCTGCACCCTGTTGGTAAGCCTTATACAGTTTTGATGCTATGTAATATCATAGAACCAATTTGTGCAGTTTAGCTGAAGCGTTGACTGAAGGCTGTTGGAACTTAAACATTATTATTTAAAATGTCAACCAATCTGAAAGTTTCCGTAATGAAGCACGGGTATTCCGCTAGTAGATCATAAACATAAACAAATGAAGTAACTGAAAGAATCATATACTAATGAAATTACATTAACATATGGTTTGACAGCTCCATTTAAGTAATGTTAAATTATGTTTACATTCGGGCTAGTGACATCATTATTTTAAATTTATAATCCTTACCCTATCTGTTCTAATATTCGTGCAGTATTTAATATATTTGAACCAGCTGTGTGGAATTGTGAAATCAAAATTCATTTGACAGTTAGTTCTTCTTGTTTATATTTTTAAACTTTGTAGGTTTGTTCTTTGTTACCATGGATACCATCAATCAATATTTACTTTTAAATCTCTCACCTCAAATTTTTGAAAGCCCACGGGGCAGAACCCTAGGACAGTATCGAAGCGGGAATAGTTCTATATGTATCCTCGGAGCTGTAGCTTCATTTTTGTGCAATTTGAGCCCAGTCGGTTCAGTAGTTTTTGAGATTATCTCATACAAACACACAGACACACACACACACACCACCTCTTCTTTATAATAGTATAGATTATAGAACCAACTTGTAAAGTTGAAACAGCTGACTAAATTCTTTAATTCCCATTAAATATGAATACTCATAAGGTTAACATGGGGAACTACAGAGACACTGGGGCAGAGCCCGAAAGGATTTGTGAGATAAGAATAAATATGCCTAAATGTTAATTGGGAATGTGAGCTATCATCATGCCAAATTTCAGCCCAAACCGTCCAGTAGTTTATGCGTGATTGAGCAACACACACACAAACTCACAAACTTTAGATTTATAATATTAGTAAGATATATATATGAATTTGAACAGATGGTGTTTTTGGCCTTTGGGGACCTCAAAACGAAAATTAAATCGGTCCCGGTTCCAGGTCTTACCATGTCCATGAGACCTACGGTAATAGCTTATTCCCTATATGGGAAATTCGCTAAAAGGCTCTAAGAAAAACATGGTTTGAGCACTATCAAAACTGTAGTTAGTTCATGTTATCTATATCTCATCATTAGTTTAAGACAGATTTATTTACTTTGATTATGTTATATAAATAAACAATATCCTTTTAAAGTTAAAAGAATTTAAATAACAATGATTAAAAAACCAATTTAAAAATACAATGTAACCAATTTAAAAATACAAGTCGATAACCTTTTTCAAAATATGTTTCCTATAAACAATACTTTTTTTACCATCCATAATCAATAAATTTGCTTTTTTGTATAAAAAGTCTATAATCTTCAACTAATGTTTTTCCGAGTTTACATTGTGAGATAATTAGTTGGTACAAGATGTCTTAATGATACCAGACCGCACTATAATAAACCAGTGTAATCACCTGATGATTGCTTCGTTTATTATCACCATTTGTTTCTTACAGACAAGCAAAGAGCAGTGGCTGATTGCCTTCTACTTGGCAGCACTCGTATTTTTCATTGGCAATTTGGTATTCATCATATTTGGGTCAACTGAAGTTCAACCATGGAATGAACCTAAGCAGGACCAAGCTAAACATGAAAAACAGATTGTATGATAAAAGTGTGGCGGTAAGTCGAATGTTTTAGTCTCATGGTGAACTTACAGGGTGTTCAAAAAAGGTGAGGACATAATTTACGTAGTGATTTCTTGAGTCAAAATAAAGAGAAAATCAAGAATAACATATTTTTTTCAAAATCGCTTCGTTAATCAGATATCCGCCATTTTGTATTTTTTACATTTTAATCTTTGAATTTTTCAATCGATCTTTATGAAACTTGGTATGTGTGTATAGGTAGAAAAGACCCATGTTAGAAATAAAGTTCATCTTGATTCAACTAAAAATTCTGTAATGGCGGCCATTTTAGATTTTCAAACTTAAATTACTACAAAACTACTGATTACAAAAAAATGCAAGAACACTTTTTTTTGTATTTTTAATTCCCTATCAAACGGTACCAAGTTCAAAAAGATTGAATAAGAAATAGCTGAAATATTATGATTGTTAGTTGTAAAATGGGGTAGAAAAAGGTTAAGCTAGCCATTTTTGGGCCAAGGATTGCCCAATTTTACCCCATTTTACCCATTTTACAACTAAAAATCGTAATATTTTCTCAGCTATTTCTTATTCGATCTTTTTGAACTTGGTATCGTTTGATAGAGAATTATAAATGCTAAATAAAAGTGTTCTTGCCATTTTATCATAAAATCAGCCATTTTTTCCTAATTTAAGTTTAAAAAATTTAAATGGCCGCCATTTTAAAATTTTAAATTGATTCTAGATGAACTTTTTTTCTAACCTATACACACACACCAAGTTTCATTAAGATCGGTTGAAAAAATTTAAAGATAAAAATGCCTATGTAAAAAATACAAAATGGCGGATATCTGGTTAACAAAGCAATTTTGGGAAAAGATGTTGTTCTTGATTTTCTCTTTATTTTGACCCAAGGAATCTAAACATAAATTATGTCCCCGCCTTTTTTGAATACTCTGTATATATGTCGCCTTGATCAATAATAGGATGAATAATAATAAGGTATACAGAAAAAAGCTAACTGTGTGGTAGTATTCCTACCTTATCAGTGGCCATAAACCAATCAAACGTTTCATTTGACTTCAATGGAATTAGCATAACACACCCCAATTATGTAGTGTAAATTTAAGGTAACTTGAGTGCTAGTGCTATCCTTATGTGGTGTTTTGTTATCATTTTCATTTTACCAATATACTGTATCGTTTTGATATCATTTCACCAATATAATGTATTGTTACAAAATGGTGACTATAGTTCGGCCGCTTAGAAAACGACCTCCTCCAGCATTGGTTTAGCATTAGCGCGCAGGTCGTTTTCTAAGCGGCCGAACTATAGTTATGATATTAAAAGAAATTGAAAAGTACTATGATTTTTTCAGGTTGCAGCCCTGAAGATCTGAGAAAGTCAGGATGAAAATGGCATCTACCTTATAGACTTTACCACTATGTGATACAGGTTTTTATTGAAATATTCCACATGTAGCAAAATCAAACGAGATGGTATTGAACACTTTTTGAAGTTTTAGTATTCAATAGCTCCTAATTTTGTTTTTGCATTGTAAAATTTCTAAACATTTCTAAGACTTTTGATAAAAAAATGTATAAGTTATAAAAAACAATAATAATTTGTGATTAATTACTTTTATAAGTAATTGTACAGTTAGTTATAAGTGTTAAATATTTAAAAGTATATGTAACAAAGAGCAGATTTGTGCAAACAATATATTTTGATACATGTATTGTTTTTAAGTATTTCAATTTATTCTTCACAGGGTGATATGTCGGTACCTTAAGGCAATTTTAGGTACCACCGATTCTTGGGAAAGATGCCCGTACCAAAAACCAGAAAAAAATGTCAGTCTATTGAAGGCCCAGAATGGTCAAAAGGAAGGCTCTGCACAGTGGCATTTCTTTACAAAGCTTTCCATTTTACTTGGTTTTCAATTTTAGTTTATAATGTGAGAACGGCAAAAGTTTCTCAAAATAAGATGACTATTTTGTATGTAACCAACATATTTTTGCTACATCAAAATATATTTTTGTATAACTCACTTATAAAGAATAAGTACCCATTAAGGTACCAATAGTCAGTAAAAAAGCTAGTACTTATAATGTCCAAACCCTGGAACCTCCAATAGGTCATTTGATCACCGCCGTTCTGTCGCACCATTGTTGAAATCAGATAAAAATGGATTGGTAATTTATTTTTCATACTATATTCATCGTAATCAATTGACTGTCTTATATTAATCATAGATGTAAATTTAATGTTGTGCTATCAAGCCAACTTGCTAGTATACATATTTTGTGTTGGCATGATTAAAATCTTGTTTTCTTTGTCTGCTGACTTAACAATTCTTAAACATTATAGTTTATTTATCCCAGTCAGCTGACGATTCATTTTATGAACAAACAAATTAATATTCAGATTTTATGTTGAATTCATAAAAAAATACTCAATTCCAAGAAGTAGGTAAGGTTTCCTTAATAAATCCTGGCCTAATACGGCGTCATTATCATGCAGTTAGTAGCACAATCTACAACCACAAAACTTTAGATTTTTTGTATAGACATAATAGTTAACCTGTATCATTATCAAAGAACCGTTTTATCTAGTGAAAATTGAACATCAAAGGGGGGGGGGGGTTAGCTCTGTGGATCTGCTACTGGCGCTTTGTAAATAATATATTTTATTCATTTTTAAATTAACTATGAAAACTGCGGGAAAATACAAAGAAATATCTACAAGGCAGTTCCAGGGTAGAAATGTTCATTTAATTTTGCACAAAAGGTTAAAGGATGTTGTAAATGTAAGCGAATCAGTTTAGTAATAGTAGTTTACGCAATGATCGGGTAAAGATAGTGTTAACGTTTCAACTAGAAATTTCATGTACGAGCCTTGCCGAGTGCCTAAAAAACTTCTACGAGTGTTGTTAGGAGTTAAGACTATTTACACGAGTGGTGTACACTACTTTACCTACGACCGTTTTACTTTCTCCCCCTATACCATACGATATATTGTTTTTGTCAATATTTTCGAGTTTGAGTTTTGAGTGGATATATCCGTTTTGGATCCCCCTGGACCCAAAAAAGTGGTTTTCGAAGTGACAGTGTGTGTGTCTGTCTGTATGTGTTGATGTGTACAGAGCTAAGGCCATACCTCTGTGGTCCGATTTTGATTAAATTTGGTATGTAGGTACTAATCTATGGTATCTCCAATCATTTTTTTTTTTAATTTTGATTTTTAATGGTGATTTCCCCATAAAATCCCTTAAAATAACAGAAACATTTAATTTTCTCGGAAATAGCCTGAATGATTTTGATCATAATTTAGTATGTTATAGCCCTTTGAATTCTGAACAAAACGGTTTACGGTAATTCCCATTGCTGTATAAATTACAGTTCTAAAGTTATTGTAACTAAGTTATTGTTATTTTCCCATAAAAAACCAAAAAAATTAATTTTTGAAAAAAGCCTGTTTTGATTGAAATTAGTATGTTATGGTCCTTATAATTCCAAACAAAATAGTGCAAGCCCTCATTGCTCTAAAAGTAACAATTCAAAAAATCAAAAGTTATCGCAACTTTTGTGGTGTTCCCTATTAAATATCATAGTTGCTCCCACTGCTTATACCCATGATAAAGGTTCTTGACAAGCTAATGGGAGAAAGTATGCGTCAGATTGCTGACACCGTTTGTTTTAATTATTAAGAATCACTACTCATAACATTGTACCAACCACTATTTGCACCACTTATTAACAATTAAATTGGTCTAAACAGCTGATTAGTTGAAGTTCAAGCATTGCAATTTTACTTCTTTTCTCTCAATTCTTGAATCTCATCTTAACTCATTGGTCTCATTGGTACTTAACTTGTGTTGTTGTTAAGTAAAACAATGCTGTTAAATGAATCTTTTCAATTCTAAGAACTGAAGTGAAATGGACTTTTTAATAAACGGTCGTAGGTAAAATTAAATAATCTAATGGGATATAATTTTGTTAATGGATATGATTGATAAATTAAGTTTATTTAGCAATACGTTTCACAATTTATTTTTCATTTTTCATTTTGACTAGTAAACATATTTTGTTTTAAGAAAATAATACAAATTAAAAGTGTGCCAAATTGTTTTAGAAAGATGGGATTTAGTTTTCAATTGCTTGTTTTTTTTTCAGTTAGCCTTACAAATTTTTTCAACATTTACCTTCATTCCTCTTATTATAAAGACAATAAAATTAGGTTTAATAAGGTTTTTTTATTAAAACTGTATTTTTTTATTGTTATTTTAGTATTATCGTTTAATATTAGATATTTTATGTAATGTATTAATTATTAATAAATTTGATTTATAAGCTCATGGTTTTTTACACACCCGCTTGATGGCAAATCTGTGGGTGCATAACTTCAATTTCAGACCTCAATCATGAAAATCGGTCGGGTAGAAAAGAGCCAAACGAATTCGGAAAAGAGAAGCCAAATGTAACTCCCGTAAGAAATAAATGGGGAGCGAATTTCGTTTACGTATACACCGAGTGGGATTATAGATAAATATATGCCGATGCTTGATGGCAAATTTGTCCGTACATACCTTCAATTTGAGACATCAATCATAAAAATCGGTCGGGTAGAAGAGCCAAACAAACTCGGCAAAGAAAAACCAAATTTAACCTCCATAAGAAATACATGGGGAGCAAATTTTGTTTACGTATACACCAAGCGGGATTATGGATAAACATATGCACATGCTTGATGGCAAATCTGTACGTGCACACCTTCAATTGGAGGCCTCAAACATGAAAATTGGTCGGGTAGAAGATTAAAACGAACTCAGCAAATACCGTAAAAACCAAATTAAACTCCCGTAAGAAATACATGGGGAGCAAATTTTGTATATGTAGGCCTATATGCCGAGTGTGACTATAGATGTGCTAATGGCCCTATGCCAATGCTTGATGGCTAATCTGTGCGTGCATACCTTCAATTTGAGAGCTCAATCATGAAAATCGGTCGGGTAGAAGAGCCAAACGAACTCGGCAAAGAGAAACCAAATTTAACTCCCATAAGAAATACATGGGGAGCAAATTTCGTTTACGTATACCGAGTGATACTAAAGATAATTATATGCCGATGCTTGATGGCAAATCTGTGCGTGGATACCTTCAATTTGAGACCTCAATCATGAAAATCGGTCGGGTAGAAGAGCCAAACGTAGTCGGAAAAGAAACACCATATTTTTTTAATATATAAGATAAGTATTTTATTCAGATTTTCCTAAACACCTACATTTATGCAGAAATGATCAGCATTCCTAGAAGCAATACCACATGTAGGCCTGGCAAACCTCAAATAAAATTGCTTCACCCGCTCACGGCACTCAAATGGATAATAAGTGCAAATGAAATCAGGCAAATGGAAATTCCCTTACTCTGCATGTTTGCTGGGGGGAGAGGAGTATTTTTAACTGTACGAAAGTTCTAAAAATTCTAAGCGATTCAATTTGTTCGCTGTAAACAAATTGTAGGCTACAATTTATATTACCATTTTTCTGAAGGATTTAAAGAACTAATTACTTATATTTTATCACTAGAGCAATGAAAAATGTCTACAATAAGCTCCATGATTATTAGCATATAAGTGGTAGGTCTCATGGTAAGACTCAGACCTGGGACCGATCTGCTGTTTAGTTTTGATGTCCCTAGATGCCAAAACACCATCTGTTTGAATTCACATATTTTCATATACACATGGTGTGTCCGTTAGTAGGATAACTTGAGTAATAATGATCCAATTTTAATCAATTTTGTACAAAGGTGTAAACCTACGTTTATTCTAATGATTTTGCGAACCAGCATAATTGGACTATAGGAACGGGATTTTACAGAGTAAAAATTGGGTTTTCTCATTTTTTACCTTCAAAACACAGAATTTCTCCACAATAAGTCTTAACCATTTTGTAACATACAAATAAATTATTTAGTATATTTGTGTTATTTTGTATAATAATTATTGGATATGGAGAAGATTAAAAAATCCCACCATATTTTTATCTAGAATAAGTAAACTATTATAGTTTGTTTGTTTATGGGTATATTTTTATCAAACTTGGCATTGGCAAATTTATTTATTTTATACCAAGCAATTAGGGGTATTTATAGATTCAACTCTTATAATGTTTTTTTAAATCTTTTGAAAACCAAAATCTATGTTCTTACAAGACAAATATTTGGTGCACACTCAGTATAAATAGAAAAATAGTAAAACATTCCTGATCATATATTGTACAATTGACAAAGAAACCGATTAACCCAATCAAACCAACTCAGATCAACTTTCTAACTAGATGTCCACTGTTCTGTCATAGATAAGTCACATAGCAGACCAGTCTGAGATAGGATTCTAATCTATGATTGGCCGTAATGGCACTAACAATACCATTAAACCCAGCATATCCCTAACTTGACTTACCTCAAGTTGGATTAATGTCCGCACTTCTGAGTACTACGACTATCCGCAGTACTATCCTGATAATTAGACCAAGGCAAAACTGTGGGTCGGATTCCATTACTAACTGTAGGTCCCTTAAGGTGCGTTGTCCAAGGCGCGTCTGTTGCGTCTGACGCAGAGCGATGATCGCTGGGCGTCGATCGCTTAGAGGCCAGTTGTCCAAGAACGCGTCTATTCAGTTCAACAGTTAGTTGCTGACTGTGTTAAAATTTATTTTGCTCTCACTATGTGTTAAGAGCAAAGTGTTGAAGATCCTGTTCATCGAAGAGATAAAAAACGAGGAAATTGTGGACCTTTAGTGAACTTCGATTGTGTACCCACAGTGTTTTCAAAAATAGAAGTGAGGAAGGATAGTTTAAAATACTTATCAAAAACCACTTTAATACAGTACAGACAAGTTTACTTTTAAAGGAAACTGTTTAAGTTCCTTTAAATCCTTTAAAGTTTAAGTTGTAATAATTTAATTGAACATTAATTTATTATTATTTTGAAACTTTTCTTTACTTAAATACAGATATCCCCTATTCTAAATAACTCCCAATACGTAATCCATAGCTAAAATAAAAGTCAATACTTTGGTGAATTATTTTAGACTATAAAGATTTTTGGGAGTTAATTGAGGATATATTATGTCTTTAACTAAAGATAAATTTCGAAATAAAAATAATTTAATATGAAATCAAGGCCTATGACTCATTTTAAATTTGTTGGATTTTATTTAGTGATTAATCAAATTAAAGCCAAACATTTACTGAGTAATTTAAGACTAAAGAGACCTTGGGCCGTATTAACAACCCGAGATATAAATATTTTAGTAAAAAAAAATTTCTAAAAAAAGTTTGATTTAATTTTGTAGTTTTGTTTGTAGCGATTCTCTTACTCGTTTGATTTTAATGATCAATAGCTCAAATGGAAGCCCTTTTTATTTTAAGGTTGAAAAAAACTGCAAGCGTTAATAAGAACTGAAGATATTTAAAAAAATGTTTAAAAATGATAAAAGTACGAAACGTCTATAAGAAATGTATGGGGGAGAGTTTTTGTTTGAATATCTTGAAAACTAAAAAAAATAAAAACGGATTTCCGAGAGTTTTCGTTTGAATATCTTTAAAACGAAAAAAAAATAAAAACGGATTTCCGCATTGAAATTAGCATGAAAATCTAGTTTTGTAAATGATAAAGACACTACAATCACAACTAGACTCCGTAGCCATGGATCCAGCTTCAACAACTGTCCCAAGTCCAACTCCTGAGAATATCGTCCACACAACTCCAGCAACCACTGCAGCAAAAGGAACAGATGGCCAACGTTCTGACCCGATGAAAAGCCAGTGTGAAGAAGTTTTAGTGGTGCCCGGTGACCTCACATATAGTGGGGCGCTAAAGCAGAGTTGTGATGTTAGTGCTGTGAGTGTTGGATTAAATGTAGGCCTACAAAATAGTTTAAGTTTCACTCAGTCACCTAAATCAACTTTAAACTCACGGGTCCAAAAGTCTCCTCCAATAAAATAATAGCCAAGCAAAATGTAACTATAATTTTCCACCAGAATATACAGCATCTAGCCTCAAGAATTATTTCCCTTCAGGCAACTTTAAATGAAATAGAACCTCACATAGTAATTTTATCAGAACATGATATGAAATACGAGGAAATTAAAAGATTAAATATCGATTATTATAACACAAAATCTCATTTTTCAAGGGGGAAAAAGTCTAAGGGCGGGGTCATTATTCTAGCAAAAGAGGGGTTTGAGTTGCGGAAGGTGACTGTGCCAGATTCTTTATCTAATTTATTGCTAGAAGAAATGCAGTTTGAATTTTGTGCTTGTACTTGGAAGGTTAATAAACAAAAATATATCATCATAGGTCTTTACAGATCACCTAATTCTGATGCAGCTATTTTTACAGATAGATTAGGCGTTTTACTTGATTACTTCAGCAATAAATGTGATAAATTAATTGTTGCTGGTGATTTAAATATTGATGTTTTGAAAAATGACAGTAAACATAGATTATTAAAAGAAACACTTAAAAGACATAATATGAGGTACCTCGTTGATTTCCCAACCAGAGTAACGGAAAGTTCAAAAACATGTATTGATAACTTTTTAGTAAAAAATATAAAAACCTCCAGTATAAAGGTAGAAGGTCTGATAACATTTCTGTCTGATCATGATGGGCAATTATTAAAACTTAATTTCAAGCACTCTATAAAAAACACCAATCAATCCATCAAACAAGAAATGCGCAAATTTTCTCCTGAAAATATAACTCTTTTCTCAAACTTACTTTCAAAGGAAATATGGACTGATGTTTATGATGCTAATGTTGAATCAAAATACAATGCTTTTTACAGCATACTAAATTATTATTTTAATCTAGCTTTCCCTAAATTGTTAATCACAAAAAAGAAAAAACAAAGGAATTGGGTAACTTCAGAATTGGAAGATAAACGTAGGTACATCATAAATTTATCAAAAGAATACCGTAGAAAAACAAACAAAAATTTAAAATTGCTTTTGGATCAGGAAAAGAAAAAAATATAAATGTGAGCTTCGGCAAGCTAAAAATAAATATTTCAACGAAAAAATTTCTAAAGCTACTAATATTCAAAAAACAGTTTGGAATATTATAAACTCTGAAGTTGGGGAAAACAAGAGGAAGACTTTCAATAACATAACTTTAAAAGATGATTCTGGAATTGTTTCAGATCCAAACAAAATTGCTGAAATATTTAATCACCATTTTGCCAACACTGTTAGAGACTTAAGTAGTAAGAACAGTCCTGTTAATGTAAATTTTAATGATAATTTTTGTGATAC